ACATAGTGCAGAGACATACATTCAGACAAAAATTAAATAAAGAAAAAATAATTTTAATTTGGTATCTACAACAGGTAAGACTTTTTGCTTAAGAGATTCAGTAAGTTGGGCACAGTGGCACAAAACTGTAATTCTAACAGCTAAAAGAATAAGATAGAGAAAGGCATGAATTAGGTATGCTGGCTGGGCTACACAGTGAATTTAAGTGAGTTCATGGTCATTTATTTTTCTGATAGGAAAAAATAATTAAAAAAACAAACCAACAGTGTCTCCTGAGATGTTTTTATTTTTTTTATTTTATTGAGACAGGGTCTCACTATGTAGCTCAGGCTGTCCTGGAACTCACTATGTAGACCAGGCTGGCCTCAACTCAGAGATCCACCCATCTCTGCCTCCCAAGTGCTGGGAATAAAGGCATGCACCATCATGTCCTGGCTGAAATGTTTTTAAAACTATTGTTTTTAATTTGAGATTTTCAGCTCATTAAAAACAAAAACAAAGAAAACTTAACCAGTGTCTCAATTTTACTTTAGGACCAAGACAAGGCTTCTGGTTTTTTTGTTTTGTTTTTCTTCATTGCTAACTATTTCATTGACAATTTTATTACAACAAAAAACATCCTGCCAAAACCTATTTCATCACACAAATCACAAACTTCAAGATAGCTTGGATGTAATTCATTTACACATAAAACACTCTGTGCACACGCTACCTATGTAAGTGTGAAAAAGACATGAGCATGAACCCTGCCTCACTGCAGCTCCCTGGACTCATTATGCTAAGGCTGCCTGACCTCAGCTTACTCGCTCTCACCTTGAGCTTTAAAGACAGGCTCAAAGACTTTCCTAGTAAGGAAGCAAAGTAATGTGGTTTCGGGAGCTAGGCCACTGGTTTGCCACGAAAGCCTTGGACTTCATTTCTGTAGGCCTCAGTTTTGTTTTGTTTTTTTTTCTCCAGTAAAATAAGTTAGGTTGTACCATTTATCTTCCATTCAAACAGACTGTTACAAATGTAGTCAAAATTAAGTATATTCTGGTAACAGCCAAAAAATCATTAATTTAGCTGGACCTAATGGGGAACACCTTTAATCCCAGCACTTGGGAGGCAGAGGCTGATGGATCTCTGTGAGTTTGAGGCCAACCTGGTCTACACAGGGAGTTCCAGGACAACCAGAGCTACATAGTGAGACCCTGCCTCAAAAACAAACAAATGGGATTAACTTAAGTGGTAGTACTCCAAATAATGGACCACTACCTGATTCTAAAACAAAAGTTGTAGGTCCACATGCCTGTTGACCGAGTAAAGCAAAATAGTAGGCAGTGCTGTGGTACACATAATCTCGGATACATGGAAGACTGAAGCAGGGGGATTTCAAGTTTGAGGGCAGCCTGAGCAACTCAAAATAAAGTAAGAAAAAGCCAAGGTGTAGCTCAGAGGCCTGGGTTCTAGAATTAGAGTGTGAGTCCATTATATGTATGTTAAGTAAATCCACAGAAACTGTCTGGGACACTCAAGACACTTCCAAGTAGTTATAGTGACAACTGGAAGCACTAGTCTTTTGAAATATTTTAAATAATAAGCAAGTGTTATTCCTGTGACTTTAAAGAAGAAACTAACAGAAACAGTTTGCTACCCTGGGTTCTATAATTCAAAAGATGTATACTCAAACACTTGGTTATTTAAGTATTTAATAACACTTGCAATGTTGTTATCTAACCTGTTTCTCCATTTACAAAAGCAGTTAGAGTCTCAGAAAACCACAGGAAAGATAAAAGGAGATCATACATGTAGGACACTTAGTATAGCACACTGCAAGAGGACAACTATTACTATATTACTGTATATTATGATTGTTATTTGAAAATTCCAGAAACTATTGTCTTTAGAGTTACTTTGGGCAGTTGGGCCAAAAAACAAAACAAAACAAATCAAAAACAATCAAAAAAACACAACCCAGTTTTGTGGATGATTAGCTTCCTTCATTCAAAATTTCTTTAATCTAATCATTATAAGACCATCTGAAAAAAGGGAAGAGGAATGCAGTTTAGCTGGCAAAGTGCTTGTCTAGCAAGCATCAAAGCCCTAACCCTAACCCCAACCCTCCATAACCCAGGCATGCTAGCACATGCCTATACTATCAGCATGTTCAGGAGATGGAAGAAGATCAGAAGTTCAAGGTCAGCCTCAGCTATATTGAAAGTTTGAGGCCAGCCTGGGATATATGAGACTCTGTCTCAAAAAATAAATAAAACAATTATCAGGGTCAGAGAGATAGATGGCTCAGTGGTTAAAAATAGTAGGTCTTCCAGGGGACCTACGTTTAATTCCCAGCACACATACGGCAGCTCACAACCATCCAAACATAATTCCAATTCCAGGTGACCTGATGCCCTCCCTCTTTCTGGCCTCTGTGGACACAGACATACATAGAGGCAAAACACTCATTTACAAAAAATAAAATAATCAAAAAATTTTTCAAGTACCAACTAGGCTGCTGATGAGCACAGTAGTAGTCAGCACAGATGTAGATTTCAGGTGTTTACTAACTACAGCAGCTTTCTTCACTGAATGGACACCTATCCAAAGAGCCCAGAACAGAACACTCTAAGGTGGCTCATTCAAGCTCCCAAATAGATGTTTGCTACTGTAGTATACAATTGCTCATTTTCCTAAAATTGGTGGCACTAATAGTTCACATAAGTTTACTAATATGTCAACCAAGAAAGAAATAGACATAAAATACCTGCATCAAAATAAATTCCAAGTACATGGTGAATAGCTTTTTTGAATGGAATTTGTCTCCAGAATTTAAAAAAAAAAAAAAAGTCAGGCTATATACTGTCAAATCAAAACACTGAGTTATAAATCCAAATTTATGCCAAGTCTAATCTCAGAAAGTACCACTCCAACAATTCCAACCATATTAAAGTTTTCTACCAAACTCTATAAAGACTGAGAGAACATTACTATTAAAATTTGTTGAATCAGTCTGTAGTACAAATGGATTGAGCCCATTATATAGTTAACAGGACTTTCTGGTATTAGAAAATAGTTTCAATACTAGCACATGGGCTAAAGTTTGGATTACCACAATTACAATTATTTTTTTTAAGTAAGGCACATACTGAATCCTTTTCCATATGAAAAGAAAGTAGATTTCACCCAATACCAATTTATCTACTTTGTTGAGATTTAGACCCTTTGTGAACTATTTAGAATCATACAAGTAGTTATATCAGAATGCATTAAAGAATCACCGTAGCTTTCCTGAGAGTGACAGAACTTCCCACCCACCCCCTAGAAGCTGGGCAACTCAATGAGGAGCTAAGCATTACATGCTTACTTCACAGATCACAGTGCTGTACTGAACTGGCATTTGGAGACTACATGAAAGCAAAGGAAAGAGGTAACAGAAAGCTAATATTAAAAAAAAAAAAGCATTATTTATAACAACATGTTTATCACCTATCACCAGGAACATTTCTAATTTTCCAATATTCAAAATTAGGCAAGCAGATAATCTACCACAGGCTGATCTTCCCCACCCCTTCCTAAGAAGGGCCCCAGGTAAAATAACCGATGCAATTTCCTTGTTTACTTAAAGAATTGAAAAAAAAATCATGTTGACTTGCTTCTGAGGTGTCTGCCACTAATCAATATTTAAGACTTTCCACAATCTTGTTTGAAATGATGATTTCTTCAGTTAGTAAAAAAGAATCTAATTTTAGATTTATAAAAGGGTTAAATTTTACACTGCAATTTATCAGTATGCTTTTTTTTTTTTTCAATCAGAAGGAAGAGGGAAAAGACAGGGAGAAGCAGCAAAACACACAAGATGGAAAACATCGCTACCTTCTTTCGTGGTTGAGTAATTGTAAATGACCCAAGAGGTAAGAGAAGTTCATGAATAGAAGGGGGGTGTAACAATGTGAACTGGTCGGTTCCAGATTCACGCAGATGTCAGAGAGGAAAAGGAATTTATTTACACTGCAGTGCCTGGTAGCAAACATGGCTGCCCCTGCCCCCTTTAAATCTGAATAGTCTTCACTCCCTCACCAAAACCATCAAATTATGGCCATGTCTCTCCCTGTCTCTCTACCATAACACAAACATATCTCCTCTTCTCTCAGAACAGTAACACCCACACCTCCCTCATTTCACAACAATCACAACCCCATAACCACTAGCTTCTCTATTTCTCTAGCCTTGAAATACAAGACGGAATACACACAAATATAGGAACAAAAGGCTTTCCTTTCTAACACTTCAATAATCCCTATCCTTTCCCTCACACTCTGTGATGCCTGGTCGATAATTCTCATCCCTTCCGATACTCGGCTAATGTCCTTCCCTAGCCCAATCATATGTCTTTCAGTTTCCTGCGTCTATTTCCTATCCTCTTATTGCATTCTGACACAATCATTTTTCATCCCTATTTCCTAATCTTATCTTTTCCCCACTTTGATTCACTAGTTTCTCCCTTGATTCCCAGAAGATGCTTCGTTCTCCATCAATCCTATCCCTTTGCCCCAACTCTTCTAGTTTCCACACACTCCATTCCAGACCTCCCTAATTTGCAATCTACCGAGGTCTCTAATGTCCAAATCTAACTCTTCTCTTTCCCTCCCCCTTCCCTGTTTCCATCCTTATCCCCGCCCCCATCCCACCTCTACTCCCAATTCCCAGCTCAGAACCACTACATCATATCCCAAGCCTACCTGCCCCACCTCCCAATTCCTTCCACACCCACCTTACCATCTGCTCTTCCTTCCTCGAACCCTTTCAGGCCATCCGCGGCACCTCCCCTTCCAGGGTCTCACTCCTTACCGGTGTCTGGGTCTTAGGTCGCCCCCACCCCAAGAAGCTTCCTCAGCCCTGACGC